TTTTTTCCATGTGTACAGGGGTAACGTACTAAATATGTAAGGTCATATCTACGTGGGTTTGATTACAGAAACTAATAAAGTATTCTCTAAATAATGAAAGAATAAGATAAGACTATAAGAGAGAGAAGCAATTTAAATATGTTCAGGGACCATTTTCATCTCCAGAATTAAGGATTATTTTGATGTTGCATCATTGCCTTTTCTCTTTTACTTTCCTTTTTAGTTTTATTTTAGGATTCCCTATTTTTAATGTTCATACAGAGATTTCTTTAACTGAAATACCGAATAGTTTCTTTGGTGTGAAAAACTACAATAGTAGACAGGATCCTAATGAGATAATTAATAATGTGAAATAGGAAGTAAAGGGCTAAAGGTGTAGGGAAAGTGGGAAGGGTGGGGGAAAGGCAATAAGGGAGAGGAAAAAAATATAAGAAACTGAAATAATGGAAATAAAGTGTTTGTAAATGGGGAGGGTAGGAGGGGGTGAAGGGAGGGCAGGGACAAGGGGAAAAATGAGAATCAAGACCTATTATGTAAAGGTACAGAATCCCAATGATGAATGTAATTGTATTGTATACCTAGATTGTACCAATAACCTCAATAAAAAGAAAAAAAAAATGATAACCAGGTGAGCAAATCTGGCCTAGTCTTCAATTCTAAATCTTCCCTTTCAAAGAATGTTTTTCTAGCAAGTCTCCCTCTCCTTTTATATCATCGTATTTTTCTATTCACTGGGTCATTCCTAGGAGATCACACATTAAATTTTTCCACCACTAAAATTTGTAATGATGGTCAATGGTTTTGGATTTATCTGCTATTATCCTGTTTAAGAAATCTGACTGAGGAATACAGCTCAGTGGAGGAGGGAGCACCCACATTGCCTAATATGTATGATCTTGGTTTTAACCCTTTAGCACCAGAAAGGGAGGTGGAGTGACAAAGGGCAAGGAAAACGAGGTTTTCCCCAACATTTGAGTTATAAAGCTATTTTCCTGTATTATTTTCTTAAAACTTTTATAATTTCTTCTTCATGTTTAGATCTATACATGACCTGAATTTGGTTTTTTAAATTTTAGTAGGGTGGTGATACCATACTATTATAATTACTGATGCTTTTTAAGACTTTGGTTGGGGGGTTAAGGGTTATGGGTTCTCACTACATATCTGCTAAGACAAGTGGTTTTTCTTATTCCCCCTTCAAAGACTAGGGCACCTGATGAAATGAAGGTGTATCAATCCTTCATTCTATGAGCAAAATATATCCTTCTGCTGGGAGTGGTGGCGAATTTTTGTAATCCCAGCACTTGGAATTCTTGCCATGAGTTCAAGGCCAGCCTGGGCTACATAGTGAGTACAAGGCCAGAATGAACTACATAAGGAGACCTTGTCTCCAAAAAAAAAGAAAAAGAAAGAAAGAGAGAGAGAGAGAGAGAGAGAGAGAGAAGCAGCTGAGGATTGAGCTCAGTGGTGTGGGCACCTGCCTGCCAAGCACAAGGTCCTGAGTTCAATCCCCAGTACCCCCCCCAAAAAAAAGTGTCCTTGTATTTACTCACGTCTAATTTCAATAATGCTTCACAGTATTCTGTAGTGGCCTTACATGTTGTAGTTCTAAGATTTATTCTATGTTTTTAAATGTAATTCAAATATTAATTACAAGTTTACCACAATTCTTGTAAGTTTTTTATATACACATCCTGTTTAACTCCTATTTTGAAACAAAGTAATGACTATTCAATTTCTTTCCAACGTGTATTCATTTTATCTTACTGGACTGCTAGGACCTCTTGTACTGTATAGTGCTAAACA